TCCTCCTCCTCCTCCTCATCCGCCCTCCTTTTCCTCCCCCTCCTCCTCCTCCTCCTCTTCCTCCTCCTGCCTGTTTGACCATGCCGCCAACCCGCGAGCCCCCGCAGCTGCCGCGGCTACCCGCCCCGGCGCTCAGGCCGCGCTGGCCAGTCCAGCCGCCTGCGCGTAGCAGAGAGGACGAGGAGGGCGGAGGAGGAGGAGGAGGAGGAGGAGGAGGAGAAGGAGGAGGAGGAGGAGGAGGAGGAGGATGGGGAGGGGGAAGAGGAGGAGGAGGTGGAGGAGGAGGAGAGAGGCGGGGAGGTGGGGAGTGGGCAGGCAGAGAGGAGGGAGGAGAGGGAAAGAAGGAAGAAAGTGGAAGGCCGAGAGGGGGCAGGCAGGGAGGAGGGGGGGAGGTGAGGAGGGAAGAAAGAGAAAGGAGGCAGGAAGACAGGCAGGCAGGAAGGGAGATGTGAGATACACGCTGTATATAGTATGCAGTATAGCAACAGTGCTGCATGTGCGTGTATCGGGAAGCGAGAGAGGGACTTGCCTCACCCCACTGCCCGTTTCTGGCACAAGCCTTTCGAGGTCTCTTCAGCTACTGCACGTGCGATGTGAAAACGGTATAGAAGTATTGGATTGGTGGTATCAATGTTGCTTAGCATCAGCATCGTGAAAGACTTCGGAAGTGTTAATCAGGTCTTGCTGTGGTAGCAGAGCCACTTACGATCGCTGCACCATCCAGATCTCCAGACCCTGCACGACGACAGTACCAGCGAGGAGGACAGCGGCAGCCACAGATGCTACCAGGAATCGACCTCCAGCGAGGGCCTTGGCCACCACAGCGACAGCAGCGACATTCTCGGCCTCACCAAGCTCAACATCAGCAAGGTGACGAGAGGCCGCAGACACATAGAGATCGATGGCATGGCAGTCCTACCAAAATTACCCTGGCGACGTACCCAACCCCTGCGCAAAAGCGGGGCGCAAATAGTTTAGGATACTTTATAAGGGGGCGATGACGGAGCGAGGGTTACATATGTCTGCAGACGGAATTCGGGAGACTCGCAGGACACTGGCTACAGGAAAAGGGCTTGATAAAGCTGATGATTTACAATTCCTGAGCACTCCTAGCCACTTCGAAAACGGGGATCACAGCAGGCCTCGAAAGTGGCGACAGGTTCACAGATCGCAGCCCCGCAGGGATGGCGAGGTCTCATTTGAATCTGCCCGTGTCCCTCACTGTGCTGGGCCCCCCAGCAGGCCTCGAGAAAATGGCGGCAGTTTCGCAGATCGCAGCCCCCCAGGGATGGCGAGGTCTAATTTGAATCCGCGCGTGGCCCTCACTGTGCTGGGCCCCCCAGCAGGCCTCGAAAATGGCGGCAGTTTCGCAGATCGCAGCCCCCCAGGGATGGCGAGGTCTAATTTGAATCCGCGCGTGGCCCTCACTGTGCTGGGCCCCCCAGCAGGCCTCGAAAATGGCGACAGTTTCGCAGATCGCAGCCCCCCAGGGATGGCGAGGTCTAATTTGAATCCGCGCG